CCTTCGTTTTCTACGAGCTTGCTCTTTTTCACATAAATGCTTCACTCACCCTACATTTTTATATGCTTCTTGACATGGTTCGGCCTCTATGTCATCGACACTCCTATCTTGATGTCGTCACAAGATAGAATATCCATTTTCCAGTCCGTTAGCGCTTGCTATGCAAACCAAATGAACAAGGCGCAACCCTGCGGCTATGTCCACTCTACTAGGCTACAAGACCACCAGGTTTACGACGAAGTCTATAGGCTACAGGCATAGCCTCACCTCCGAAGGGGAAGAGGGCGGCGCGTACTCTGTGCCTCGTCGTGATGACTAGGGTGAAGAACTTTCTGCATTCATTTTTCAAAAAAGTCCTTGGCATTTTTACGAAGCCACGGGGCGGGGTTTGGGGTCTGGCTGCGAGGATTGGGGTCTGGCTGCGACGTTGCTACAATTAGCATAGTTTGTCGGGTAGTTGGGACTGTAGGGGTAGGCGAGTGCTATTTTTGGATGTCAAGTAGTATATAGCTGCAAGGTTGGAATCACTTTTCCTCTTCGACAGCGTGTTGAAAGTTAGATTGTCATGATTGACCCATGGTCATCATGAACAATGAAGCGGCAATGGTTCGTCGGTAGGTTGGTCTGAACTGTGGTTTTCGGTTGGGGGAAAGAGGGGGGACAAACCAAGAGCAGCCATGTGGAGATTTGCTACCTTGCGAACTTTCGTTGAAAGTTGTGTTTTCATTGTTGTACATTGTAATAAGCCATATGGTTTTTCTACTAAGAGATTTGGCAATGCACTTTGTGTGTTGATGTCGTGACTCTGAGATTGTCATTTGTTGTTGATGATGCACTCGTTAACCGACGGAGAAGATTATCCCGATTTGGTGTTCAAGACGTTTTGAGAGTTGAGGTGTGAAGGGGTGTGGTGGTCTCCTAACGAGTTGTGGAGTAGGCAGGGAAAGAGCCTGAGTGTAAGAAGGAAGATTTGCAATGACCACGACTGAGGAGGCTGGTGGTAAACACTGGTAAGGCCGAAGGAGGAGGGGAGCAACCACCAAAGAGAGGACCTCCTATCTGTTATGGATGTGGAAAGTATGGAGTCTGAACATTTTAAATTTGAATGTTGGAAGTATACGAAGAATGAAGAAGGAAAGTCGGTTTCCCCCACTTGAAAGTAGGAGAAGGGTGCTTCGTCATCTGGAAGCATTGGGGGAGGTGCCGACTTCGGGGCTGCTGGGGATCTGGTGGAATTGTTGTTAGTTAAGGAGGAGGCGAAAAAGGTTAAGAGAAAAGAGGAGGATATGAAGAAAGCGATGAAAGAGGAGAAGCTATGTGAACAACAAAAGCAAGAGGAGGAAGAAAGAAAAAGACGAGAGCAAAATGAGAACGAGCAGCGATTATTGAGAATAGTACAACAACAGTTGGCGCAGTGGGGTCCACCACAAAACACGGGAAGGCACGAAGGAAGAAGAAGGCATGAAAGAGGAAGGAGACCTGGTACACAAAGAATTCCGTATCACCTGGACGAGTGGGGTTTGTCGAAGGAGGACGTTGAAGAGTTGAGCAAGAAAGTTGCTGCAGTAAGTATGGAAAAAAGGAAGAGGGAGGTAGCAGATGACGAATCTTTGTCATCACTGGTAAAGCATCGTACAAGAACACAAGAAAGACCAAGAGGCACGAATACGAAAATGAAAACTGGTTTGAAGCTACTAACCATGAGGAGTTTGAGACAAAAATCAGATCATGCAAAGAAGGGGGTAAGTGTTGGGACAGGGGAAGGCTCTAGGGCTAAATTCGTGGAAGACACCAAACTGTATTTTGATAGAATGGACTACAAGATCATTCAAAGTATGTGTAAAGCAGAGAATTTGTCGTATCATCCCCTTATGTGCGTAAGCCACAGGCGGTG